CTCGTTCATGAAGGAGTTGCCCTCCGGGGCGGGGTACAAAATCTGAGGAGAGTTGTCGTTTACGTCCGATATGAACACGCTGACACTCACGTTGCTGCTCAGTGGAGGAGAACCGTTGTCTCGGGCCATGACGTGGACTTGAAAACTCCGCAAGTGTTCGTAATCAAACGACCTGACAGCGTGGATCACCCCCGTGTCTCCGTTCACAGACACATAGGAGGACACCGGGGCACCGCTCACTTCAGAAGGTAAAAGAGAATAAACCACAGTGCCGTTCTGTCTCCAGTCGGGGTCTCGAGCACTAACGGAGCATAACGTGGAGCCAGCTTTGTTGTTTTCACTCACATATGCGCTGTAGGATTGTTCCTCAAACACAGGTGGATTGTCATTGATGTCTGCTACAGACAAGTGAACACTTTTTGAAGAGGACAGGGGAGGGGAGCCCTCATCAATGGCACTGATTGTAATGTTGTAATCAGGCACTCTTTCACGGTCAAGTTGTTCCATTGTCACCAGAGAATAATAGTTTTTAATAGAAGGAACTAACTTAAAGGGGACATTTTCCTGTATGGAGCAGTGGACCTGCCCATTCTCCTCTGAATCGCTGTCCTGCACATTAACAATGCCCACCTCTGTACCAGGTGACACATTCTCCAATATTAGGTTGGACAGTGACTTTACATTGATCACAGGGGCATTGTCATTGACATCAATTATATTAATTATTACTTTTGCCTCAGAAGAAAGTCCATAACCGTCTTTGGCTTCAACCAACACGTCATGGTTTGATGCTTCTTCATAATCTATCTCACCTACCACAAGAATTTCTCCAGTTTTCTCATTAATGGAGAACATATTTTTTGCTTTCTCAGAAAGCCTGCTGAACTCGTATGTAACTTCTCCATTTATTCCTTCATCAGCATCTGCTGCACTCACGGTGATAACTGGGGTTTTTAAGGCTGCGTCTTCCTTCACAGAGGTTGTATAAACAGTCTGGGTAAAAACTGGGGCGTTGTCATTAGCATCAAGTACGATGACATGAATGACTACAGTCCCAGATCTCTGAGGAGAACCACATCCAGTGCCGTTAGCAATAATTTCATTTCCTGCTGCTCTTCTCTGTCCAAATCTTTATCTAAAATCAGCTCGCCGTATTTACTGCCGGCATTTGTCGTTTGAATGCGAAACACAAAATTGCCATTTTCTTGCAGAATGTAGCTTTGGACAGAATTTGTTCCTATATCCGAATCATGCGCCGCATTAATGCGATATTTGGCTCCTTTATCAGCGGACTCACTTATTTCCAGCTTTATCATATTCTTGGGGAAAACGGGAGCATTATCATTCACATCCTGAACTTGCAAAGACAGCCGGTGCAATTCCAAAGGATTTTCCAGCAGCAGGTCGAATTTCAGAACACACGAAGGCTTCCCCGCAATGCTCCTCGCGGTCAATTCTGTCAGCAACCATTAAATCTCCCGTCCGGAGGTTTATGCCGCAATACTGTTTGTTGTTCTTTTCCATATCAACACGAGCTTTGCGAGCAGACAATTTGCCCACCTCCAATCCAAGATCCTTGGCAATATTTCCAATCATAGCTCCGCGTTTCAGCTCCTCTTGAGTCGAGTAGCTGAGGTCTCCGTGTGCATATCCGACAAGAACAAAGAAAAAGGCAAAGCTGCGGCATCGGACGGCGTGCCGCAAATGCGCCATTCTCTGACACAAACACAAAATACGGCAAAAGAATCAGAAGCTCGTTCGATCGATCTTGTATTTTCCCCTTTGTCTTCTGCTGTCCACGCTCCGAAAAAGACGAGAGTCCAGTTGTGTGCGCCGTGCAACACACACCGAACATTACTGTAAGAATCTTCTGCTGGTCTATGGTGACACCGCGTGTTCAGTTAAAATACTGCCATTGTAAGGTACTACGCCGGATTCATATCCTCTTTTTATACGTCAAGCATACCACGTGCGGACGTATTTGCTACAGTGCTTGCCTTTTCCTGTCACTGTCGAAATAATGACATACAATTGCCTGTCAAGCATTGAAAAAATTGGACGAAGAAAGCACCAATTGAAAGTAACATTCCAAAGTCGTTTTTGTTGTTTCCAGCGTGGTTGTATTGGTTGTTTAAAGTGTCTCCATGTTCCATAAATATGGAGAAGCCGATCAAATAATTACAGTAAATGAAAGGTTGATGTGAAATGTTCAGGAAAGTGCTTTGGTACAGCTGCAGTTGTTGTGAAAGCGATACAAAAACCAAAATGTATTGTGTTACATAGAACATTTAGATATAAGCGGAACTGGCTCTGAAAATACACCCCAAAAGCTCAGCACGATTCAGGACCAAGGTCAGAGGTGCGAGTGAAACAACACTCCTCCACTCTTTGTCACGACACAGAAAATGAAGCAAGAGCAGTTTGCCCAGCTTCTCCGTCAGCAAAAACAGAAGAAAGCATATGTTGAAAACAACTAAATATGCATTTTTAACAAGCAGAAAGGAGACACAAAATGACGGCACTTGTTATTCACGTTTGTTGAACTTCAAATTGTTTGTCTTGTCATGAATATACTGTAGCATACTTTCTGTCAATGATCGTGGAATGGCTGGGACCAATCAAGTGAATTCAATATGCTTTCAAAAAAGGAGAGCATCCACAAAGAGAAAGATCTATCTTGACCTTCCTCGTCAATAACACACCCCCCTCAAAAAAAAAAATAAATACTATATATTGTCCACAACCACACAATAGGTACACTGAAAAAAATGTGTCTTGAATTAATTCATTTTTATTTTCTCAAGTGGATGCACAATATAGAATCATCGGGATTTAGGGACATTTTTTAAAGTAGATTTATAGTCGACTTAAAAAAATGCATCCAGATGAGTTTATTTCTTGCAACCACGATAGAAATAAAATTGAGGAAATTCAACACATCATTTTCAGTGTATGAACAATACCACCCCCACCCCCCAAAAAAAATGCTGTAAACAAAAGCCTGATGCCTCCTACATCATAGAGAAGCAAATTCAGGAAAATTGCAAGAATGTGTACCAAACCAAGGTTAAAGGTCATCCATTCCTTCCTCAGTAAATACGGTTCACCGAACTTCCCCACATAGGATTATCAGTATTGAAATATCAAAGTGAAAATTATTTCAAATAAGTGTGGTGAAGTTGGGGTGAAAAAAAACCCACAAAGACATTAAAATTTGGATGATGCGGTCCTACCTCCAAGGGGTCAAATGAATCATGAAGCTCATCAACAAAGTCACTTGGACTTTTCCTCAAAGTCTGGTCAGCAGGCAGCGTGTTGTCATTGTAAGACGACACAAACTTAAAGTCACTGGTTCTGGAGCCTGTTGTCAAGTAGGCGTCATAGTTGTAGGTGCTGCGTAAAGTTCCTGTGCCATCTACATCTGCGTAATTAGGAGGCAGATAAGCGCCCGGAATGGCAACTGCTCCATCAAACAACAGTCTGGGCTTTCTCCTGCGACAAAACCTCACACCCAGGACGATGATGATGAAGGTCAGGAAGAAGGTGGACACGGACACCAGAGCGATGATCAGGTAAGAGGTCAGCTTGGAATTCTTGTCGTCATAAGAAATGTCCTTCAGTTCCGGCACCTCGGCCAAGTTATCCGAAATAAGTAAATACATGGAGCAGGTGGCAGAGAGAGGGGGCTGTCCGTTATCTTTCACGGCCACAATCAGGTTCTGTTTCATGCTGTCAGACTCCAAAATGTCCCGCTGGGTCCTGATCTCGCCACTGTGGAGACCAATGGTGAAGAGTCCTGGGTCTGTGGACTTGACAATATGATAGGACAGCCAGGCGTTCTGTCCCGAGTCTGCGTCCACCGCGATCACTTTGTTCTGTCTCCAGTCGGGGTCTCGGGCACTAACAGAGCATAAAGTGGAGCCAGCTTTGTTATTTTCGCTCACATATGCGCTGTAGGACTGTTCTTCAAACACAGGTGGGTTGTCGTTGATGTCTGCTACTGACAAGTGAACATTTTTCGAGGAGGACAGAGGAGGTGAGCCCTCGTCAGTGGCACTGATTGTAATGTTGTAATCAGGCACGAGTTCACGGTCCAGCTGTCCAGTCGTCACCAGAGAATAATAGTTTTTAATGGAAGCGACTAATTTAAACGGGACGTTTTGCTGTATGGAGCAGCGGACCTGCCCATTCTCCTCTGAATCGCTGTCCTGCACATTAATAATGCCCACCTCTGTACCAGGTGACACATTCTCCGATATTAGGTTGGACAGTGACTTTACATTGATCACAGGGGCATTGTCATTGACATCAGTAATATGAATAATTATCTCGGCCTTAGAAGATAGTCCATAACCGTCTTTGGCTTCAACAAAAACTTCATGTTTTGATCCATCTTCATAATCTATCTCACCTCCTACAACAATTTCTCCAGTTTTCTGATTAAGGGAGAACATTTTTTTTGCTTTCTCAGACAGCCTGTTAAACTCATATGTAACTTCCCCATTTATTCCTTCATCGGCATCTGATGCACTCACGATGATAACTGGGGTTTTTAGGGCTGCGTCTTCCTTCACAGAGGTTGTATAAACAGTCTGGGTAAAAACTGGGGCGTTGTCATTAGCATCAAGTACGATGACATGAATGACTACAGTCCCAGATCTCTGAGGAGAACCACATCCAGTGCCGTTAGCAATAATTTCATTTCCTGCTGCTCTTCTCTGTCCAATTCCTTATCTAAAATTAGCTCACCATCTTTACTCCCTCCATTTGTCGTTTGAATACGAAACACAAAATTGGCATTTTCTTGCAAAATGTAGCTTTGGACAGAATTTGTTCCTATATCCGAATCATGCGCTGCATTGATACGATATTTGGCTCCTTTATCAGCGGACTCACTTATTTCCAGCTTTATAATATCCTTGGGGAAAACGGGAGCATTATCATTCACATCCTGAACTTGTAAAGACAGCCGGTGCAATTCCAAAGGATTTTCCAGCAGCAGGTCGAATTTCAGAACACACGAAGGCTTTTCCCCGCAATGCTCCTCGCGGTCAATTCTTTCAGCAACCATTAAATCTCCAGTCCGGAGGTTTATTCCGCAATATTGTTTGTTGTTGTTTTCCACTTCAACACGAGCTTTACGAGCAGACAATTTGCCCACCTCCAATCCAAGATCATTGGCAATATTTCCAATCACAGCTCCGCGTTTCAGCTCCTCTTGAACAGTATAGCTGAGGTCTCCGTGTGCATATCCGACCAGGACAAAGAAAAAGGCAAAGCTGCGGCATCGGACGAGGTGCCGTAAATGCGCCATTCTCTGACACAAACAATAAATACTGCAAAAGAATCAGAAGCTCATTTGATCAGACTCGTCTTTTTTTCCCCCCTTTGTCTTCCGCTTTTAACGGTACGAAGGACACTGGATAAAATGTGTTGCGTGCGCACAGCACGAACGTTCTGAATTCTCTGCTGGTCTATGGTGACACCACGTGTCCAGTTTAAATACTGCCATTGTAATATGTGCATTATTGTACCGTGTTCCGATCCTCTTTTACTCGTGAATGAATTGACTTTAAGTGGGCATAATCACTTTGAATAAATGCTTGCAGTTCTTAGCACTGCTGTCACTAAACATCCCCTTTTCATGTTAATTATTCAAAAGAGTTGACGAAGGAGACACCAATATATTTGGTAAACACACCTAAAAGAGATTAAAATGAAAAATAAAATAAAACGAATGTCTCATTTTTCCTTCATCATATTGCGATTCAACTTTAAATGTTTGTACAATTAATAGATTCTTCAAGGGTAATAAACATTTACATCAAAGAAGGATTATATTTCAACAAGGGTTAATGGTTTCGTAGTCTGAACTTCTTTGGTGAATGTATTCAAATATGTTTTGTCTGAGGGAGAAAGATGGAAATGTCATGCCACTGTTGCAGTGGAGCATTTTATTCAACCGCTTACTGGCTAAAAGTAAACCCTTGGTAATTCGGTGTGAACAATTTTTTTTTGTCCTTGCAAAATAATATTGAGATTAACATTTACCAGTTGTTGTCATGTTTTTAAAACAGGCGTCTCTTTGTTACATACTGCAGAATAATGACAACAAGCAAGAAAAGAGGGAAATGACTAAAAATACATCACATGAATTGTCACAACATTCAGCACCAAGGTCAGAGATCAAATGGGTGAATTACACAACCCATCTCCGGGAAAATTAAGATGGATATCATTGGCCTAGTTTCCCCATCAGAAATAACAATCTATGTTAAAAGCGACATCTGCAATGGTAGTGGCTTGATTGGGCGCAAAAGAGAAAAAATGGTGCCAGTTCGGTAGCCAAGCAATATTTTCTGAAATTGCCCAACCATTCACCCATCTGTTCTTTTTTAAATCCTACTTTCTGCTAGGGTTCATGGAAAGGATGGGACCGTCCGGCTTGGCATTTAAGTCAGCAGATAGTTTACAGAAATATCTCGTGCCTTCATGATTCAAAATTAAACTGAAAATATTCACCAAAACCCAAACAAATTGTTGACCCAGACAAAGCAAACTCACTGAAACCAGCAAAAGCCTGACTACTCTTAGATCACTCAAAACCGATAAGCAAGTCCAGAAAACATCAGCAGAACCAAGGTCAAAGGTCATCAATATCTTCCTCAATTCATGATATTGAGCAGACTTCGACAAAGAGTTTTATCAGATCTACAATTTCAAAGTGAAAAAGACTACGCACAAGATTTGTGGTCAAGTTCGGGTGTAAAAATGTGGTGGGTCTCGAAGTAAAGCAGCAAGTGCCTACAGAAAATGTTGACATACAGTGAAGGAAAACATTATTAGACCTCCTTGTTTTCATTCTTGTTTGTTCATTTTCATGCCTCGTACCACAATTGGTGAACCATATGATGAATAGACAGAAAAGAAAACATGGAATGACTAAAAGCACTGTATTTGCCAGTGAAGGCCACAGCTATTGGTGTAAGAACTGAAGTGTTTTTGGTCATGATCAAGAAAGTCATGGAAAATGTCTGATATCGGAACGTACATTCAATTCTTATGAGCTATTTTGGTTCTCATCATTATATGGGTACAAAAAAAAACTTGTAGTTGTAATCGGCATTTAAAACCATCAAGAAACAGAAAAAAACAAAGTTGGTCTCATATTTTTTTTCATGACTAAGTGCAGATAAAAAAAACAAAGATCAAATTTGGCATAGGGTGCCTACCTCCAAGGGATCAAACGAATCGTGAAGCTCATCAACAAAGTCACTTGGACTTTTCCTCAAAGTCTGGTCAGCAGGCAGCGTGTTGTCATTGTAGGAAGACACAAACTTAAAGTCACTGGTTCTGGAGCCTGTTGTCAAGTAGGCGTCATAGTTGTAGGTGCTGCGTAAAGTTCCTGTGCCGTCAACATCTGCGTAATTAGGAGGCAGATAAGCGCCGGGGATGGCGACTGCTCCATCAAACAACAGTCTGGGCTTTCTCCTGCGACAAAACCTCACACCCAGGACGATGATGATGAAGGTCAAGAAGAAGGTGGACACGGACACCAGCGCGATGATCAGGTAAGAGGTCAACTTGGAATTCTTGTCATCATAAGAAATGTCCTTCAGTTCCGGCACTTCGGCC